CTGTCTTTTGATATATGTCACTATGGTTTTATATTATGTTGTCTCATAGTATTTCTTTTGAACAAGTGTCGCTGTAATGCATTCTTTTGAAAATTTATTTTATATTTGTGAATTAAATTTAAAATTATCAATTTAATACTATGTGATATCCTTTATAATTACTTCTTTTATATTCAGAGTCTTTATATTAACAATTTTATGCTATTTTATTGTTTGCTATATTAATAATTCATTTTTATTTTTGGACTAAAGTTCGGTCAGGTAACTTTACAATCGTGATTTCTGTTTACATTTTCAATTCATTCCAGTATATACAAACAAAGCTCATAAATTAAGAGAGATTGCATTGTTAAAATTTGGTGTTTTATAAATAAATCCCTACAGCTAACAAAGGAAGGCATATGAAACACTACTCTCAATCTTGCCAACATAAATCGTATTTTCTTTTTTTAAGTGATGGAGTTCAAAAAAATCTATTAAGTCAAGTGTCATTTGAATAAATTTTCAATTATTAAAACCTACCCACTCATAATTTTTTTTAACTGGTTGGTTTGGTTAACCATTATACCATACCTAGATGTTGTCAAAAAGCATATACCTATAACTTCACCAGATGAAATTTTTAATGTTTAGACTTGATTTGATTTAATTTAATACTTTAAAGTAAGGCAAATGTAAAAAATAGAAGTAATAGTTTATATTAATTTAGAAAGGTTGTCACATTTCTGATATTGCTTTTTCAAAATTCAACTTTTTTGTGAAAATTATGCTGTGTATAATGATATATTATAATATAACTACCTACCTACATGATGATTAGCTCAAATTTTAAAAAGATCAGCTCTTCTATTGCGGTTTATTACGTGGGTTAATCTTTGTCAGAGAAATGATATTAGAAACAAAAAAAGAGGTAATTTCTTTTAATTTTTAATTATTTAAATGTGAGGTATATTTTTTTCGTTAATAATGAGATACATTATATCTATTTTTTTACGTAATTATTAATATGACATGTTTCCTAGATATTGCGGATGTAATTCAACGCTGCAGAGTAGTTGTTTCCTACAATATCATTAGTTACCAATTAACTTATCTTAGCCTGTCCTTGAAGTTGCTTATTAACGTAACTGCAACTAGCCATTGGTATCAAGAAGCATATACAGGGCGTGCCATTTAACACTCCCGCTGATAATACTCCCGAAATAAAGAAATTTATTTTAGTTCCGAAAACTGAAGTTGCTAGGTCCCTCGAATAGCTTCAAATTGTAGTTAGAACTGTTAATTGAAATTTTTCTGTATAGATGTCGTGGCGATAATAAAAAATATTTTGATCCCTGGAATGGGGAAATGCAATCCATCTGAAAGATCGTTAAATTTTGAGTAATTTTTATAATACAAAGTTTTTCCCTATATTTACTTGTTTTTCGAGATAAGTCGACTTCAATGTGCAATGTATAATATAACAGGAAAATCTGTTATTTTATTTAAATCGCACCGTGACAAAATATTCTTTTAAAATATTGTTATGATGGCTTTATTCACATCACATACTAACTAACAAACAATAAATTATAAAAAAAAACGATGATAATGATCAACTACAGAAAAAAAAGTTGTACAATGGTAAATCTTATAAGGGCCACAAATGAATCACATTTTACCAAATGTTATTAAAAAATGCAGTCATAGGTGGCTCATATCATTTATTTAAAATAAAACAATGACAGATCACACATATTAGTTTTCTAATAATTACAGTTTTATCAGTTTGTCTTTCAATTTAACTATACTAGTTATAAGATTTACCATTGTATATTTTTTTTCTGTAGTTGATCATTTGATTTTTTCTATAATTTATTGTTTGTTATTTAGTATGTGGCGTGAAAGCATTATAACAATATTTTAAAAGAAGATTTTGTCTCGGTGTAATTTATATAAAATAATAGGATTTCCTGTTACATACGTTGCATATTGAAGTCGATTGATGTCTCGAAAACAAGTAAATATTGGGAAAAACTTTATATTACAAAAATTACTCAAAATTTAACGATCTTTCAGATGAACAGCATTTCCATGTTCCAGGGGTCAACAAATTTTTTAGTATCGCCGTGCCATCTATACAGAAAGATTTGAACTAACAGTTTCCGAAACTAAAATAAATTTTTTCATTTCTGAGATACTGGCAGCGGGAGTGTTAAATGGCACACTCTGTATATGACTTCATCAGATGATAATTTTACGAAAATTATTATTATTCAGTTTCCAAATTACCTACAAATACTATTAAGGTGGCCATATTCCCGGCCGAGAAATAGTGAAATTTCAGGCCTCTTAAGATACTGAAATCTTTGAAAGTAAAACGTGTAGAACAAAAGTAAGCACAAAAATAAAATCCTTGATGTTTTGTTTATTCATTGTTACCATTTAAATTTACTCAAATAAAATAATAATTAAAAAAAAGCGTTTGTAAAACATGCGTTTGCTGTTATTCTAACCCCACATTTTAAGAATTATTTTCACGTACTTATAAATAAAAGTAAACAATTTTATATGTACATACTAAGCAAGTAAATGTTATAAGGATATTTACATGTGGAATTATATATAAAAAAGTTAGTATTTTCGTAGATTTCAGTACCTAAAACCTTGATGGTTTGATCGTTTTTTGCACCTGTTTATTCGTTTTACTGCGGCGTCTTTGAAAATACTCAGGTGGCATGACATAACATTCCTATTATTTCATAAGCTTTAGATTATTCAGTTATTAAATGTTTGAAATTATTTGTCTTTGCGAAAAACACTATTTATAGAATATGGGGCCCTTAAGTAAATTATTAAGTTAAATTAAGTAAAGACACGTTACCGTCGAACTTAGGCAACCAACAACGCACGGTTTGTACTGCCAACCGAAAATTCCTAAATATTTCGTCACCAATATTAATGGTTCGTTCACAATAAACAATGACAAACCGTTACGTCTACGCTCAATTGCAGATTGGTTGAATATAATCTCGTGAAAAATTACAATAATGGTGAATTTCGAAATACTATTTGAGCCTAGTTTTTTCTTTTATGCAAAATGTAACTAATTTATTTTTAATTATAATGTGTAATAGGTACCTATTGTATAAGTGTCTCATTACTTATATACGACATGAAACACAAGGGTGTAAACTATCCTTGAGTGTTCTGGAATGTAATACAATAGAATTTTTTTCAGCTAGCAGAAATATCGAATTTGATAAAAAAAACTAACCATAAAGTGCTACAAATAAATAGTTACATAAAATACATTTTTTTTTAAATTTAAATTTACTTTTTATTTAACATTAGCGAATTAGTGAACATCCTTCCGCTTTATAATTTATTATTATGTGAAGTAAGCACTATATAAGTACAAATTATTTATATCCTAACATTAATTATTTTCGAAGTTCTACAATAAACGATTTAATGAAGTGACTTTATAAACATACCCAATTCCCACAACGATAATGGAATTTTATAATAGACAAATTAATACGACTCAAAAGCAGAAAGTTCCAGGCGCAATTTTACAAAGCAAATACGCTTTATTAAAATTAGGGACCTTTTATTCCAGGCTCGAAATTGTACTGCAATCCAATCTTCCTCTCCAAAATTAACGATACTGGAATGGTTTATTCCGTTTTATCCCTCCGCTACAAATTTTCATTAATGATGCAATAACTGGGAAACACAAAGTATCCCGTTTAGTTCGGAATTACACATTGTCTTGGCATTAACGAAAGAGGTATTTAGCTGATTAAATGCAAATTTGCATAATAACGATGTCTTAAACTGCAACAGTTGTAAGGAACAGTTATATGCAAGGATTAGCTGAAGCAGATTTTACAGAAGTAATTAAAGTTCCACTCAATAATTAAACTGTGATTACAGAGAAAGAATACAGCGTAAGAGGAATTAGCTGTCTCCACTGTTCCTTTTCCAGATCATTTCAGAAAACTTTTGTTTTATTTTGATCCAGTTAATTTTAATTCAGAAAGCGTGATTCGAATTTCAAATTTGTCACATGTATTTTCTGATTCTGTATTTCAAAATATATTCCTGAAGCATCACATTTATTTCACAGTTTATCTCTAAGTATTTCAGAAAAATCCAAAAGTTTTAAAAATGACAACAAACATTAAAATTAATTTTGTATTCTAATTATTCCTTCATACGTGCTGTCCGGAAAAGGTGCAGTGATGGTTGGGTTTCATCGTGATGAGACACAATGAATATTTTATATATTTTTATTGAAATTAAAAACAATTTTCTTTAACTTATCTAGCATAACTTAAGGGAATAAAATTAGAGAAGCTCGGTCAAATTTTGTTCCTTTCGTAAGACGACAAAATTTAAAAAGATGTCAATAGTAAAAAACAATATTTTTGCTTTAAAATTTGACAACTTATAAAAACGTATTTCGAAATTTTGCATCTTTCAAGGTATATTAAAATAATCCTTGAAATCCTTATCAAATAAAATTATATACGGTATTTCATGGTCAATTATGCATACCGTAATGACAGGGTGGGAAAACATAAGTGACCATATAAAGAAAGTCTTGATTAAATATTTAGTAATATACAGTGTGGTATTTCAATTTTCACCGAAAATTATTTACCTATAGTTTTCGAATTATTTAATTAATTCATTTTATGATTCCGCAAGGGAAATACATTAGTGTTAAAATTAGTCCCCCTCCCCTCCTTGTAATCTGCTTTTTTATAATGATATGAATATGTTTAAAGTATATATAAAGTATAAAAACTATTACATAGTTATAATATAATTTTTCTATACTGAAAATTTTCCGATGAACTTATTGCTCTGCAAAAATTAGAACAGTTGAACTGAAATTCTTTAGAAAATGAATTATAATAATAACTTCGGTAATAATAGCAGAATGTTTGCACCTAATGGTTATAATATTGGTGTTAAAATTGCGCACTTACCTTCCTGTTGAAATATATGGTGCACATCATTGCTGGAAGCCTGAAAATAAGTTTCAAAAGTTAGACATGCACAGGAAGACATACACTTTTTCCAGTTGATATACTGTGGCCTGTGTACCTGGTAGCCGCCAGTTACAGAAATACTTCCACAGAGCCTAGCTCAAGAACAACAAGGGCAGGTCAAATATTCGTAGCCAAGGTAAGGAAGTGAAAGGTAATTCTGTAATTGTGAGCGACCAGGTGCACAGGCCGAGAACCTATCGTATTTTAAATACAATTTACACTTTAAAAAACAAAATATTTAATTCCGAGTAATTATAGTTACATAGGCTTTAGTTTCTTCTCCAAAAATGTTAAGACGTTGATAGAATAAAATTGGTTTTATTAATTATTTCTCCACATATATATTAGTCCAATAGTTCTAATACAAATGGTATTAATTAAAATAAAAAATTAAGCATTACTATGACGAAACGAATAATAATTAATTTACATATTGTTCTAATTTTAAACTGCACCTCTCCTAATCTTTGCCGATTTTTTCGTGTGAGGACATCATTGATCCCTTTTTTTATGAAATACGTTTTCTCTGGTTTTTTCCTTTAACTTCCTGTGGTTCTTTTAGTTTTTATAATTGTTTTGATGGTATTAATCAAAATGAGACTTATAACATGGTAAAATATTTATGTCGACTAGCATAATCACTATCAGAGGGTTTCTTTAACAAAGGGGCAAAAAATTTAAAAAATTTAATAGCTGATCTATTTAAGTCTTAGTGAATAATTACTTTTCTCAGGTATTTCAGTGAACGACGTATGAAAAACAACAAAAAATGGGCTGAGGCAGTCTAGCTTTCTTCCAAATAGAACAGTAAATCTTTAATTGCTTTCAAATATGAACGACTGAACTTAATTAATTAATTAATTAATTAATTTAGTATATGTCGAAATTTAATACAAGCCGACTTTTTCGATATTCTTTTGGAATATAATGGCACCGCCTTTTGGCAATATAAATTCTAACAACTTCTAAGTTAAACATTCTAGTCCATAATAATGTATTATTTATATTGGTGTTTAATATTTCTAGCTTTGGAATCACCTGGAAATTCGATTTGCGTCGCTAATGCGACGACTTAGAGAAAGCTGTAACTGTCTCAAGCTAATAACCCGTCAATAAAATCACTGGCCAAATTCATCTAACGAGATAAGCAAAAAATAAATTACTAACCACAAAATTCATAAAACTGTATTATCCTGAATCTAAAAAAAAGAATTTGCAGTTAGTTAATCTTATTGTTGACTTTTTGTAGTATCCTGTACATCCTATTAAAAGTTTTGAGTTACTGGTAAATAATATCCTTTGTAGTTAAAATTGTTATTTTAACAGGTTTCTGTGTGAAAACCATTATAATTTCATTTAAACAATACGAGCGGGGTTTGAGGGTTTCAACCCCTACGCAAAGGGCAGGGACATTAAACACAAAAGCTTCATCCACGAATAACAATTGGACATTTCATTCATTCTACCAGATAAGTAATAAAACGTATCTGTAGGATGTGATAATTGTCATGTGGCTATTATCTTGAAATGCAAGCTAGTAAAAAGTAAAATATTGTAGCTTAAGCTAAAAATATATTTTTTTATAGATATGCGAGGTCTGTTCAGAAAATAACAGAACTTTATTTTTTAAACTTTAACTTTAAAGTACTCTCCCACCGTATTCACACACTTTTCAAAGTGCTGTATCCATTTCGGGAAGCAGTCCTGGGTAGCTTCATTTGAAATGGCCTTTAAAGTCTGTGATAAATTTGCTTTGATGTCATCAATAATTTGAAAACCGTGTCTTTTCAGCACTGATTTTAACTTCGGAAATAAGAAAAACTCGTAAGGGGCCAAGTCTGGCGAGTAAGGAGGGGGAGGAAGGACAGTAATCTGGTTTTTGGCACAAAACTGACGAATTTTCAAAGCTGCGTATGAGTCATCGTTGTAAACTTCCATGTAGTGGGTACACACGGTACACTGTTTCACCTTGAAGCAAGAATTCAATACGCACAATTCCATTAAAGTCGAAAAAAGAGTGAGCATTACTTTGACACTGGATCGAAACTGACGAGCTGTCTTGAGACGTAGAGATTCTTTGCCAATTCATTGTGATGATTGAACCTTTGTGTGAATGTAGCCGTAAACCCAGCTCTATACGATTTTCTTTTTGTTGTTCGGTCATCAAACGAGAAACAAATTTTTCTTCAACTCGATGCATGATCAATTTTTCAGTAAAAATTTCATGTTATCACCCAATTGAGATGCTAACATATTCTGCAATTTCTCTTACAGTCAATCGGCGATTTGCACGCACTACATCTTAGACCTTCCGAAAAGGGGAGTCATCAGTTGGAGTCGAAGGCCTTCCTAGTCGAGTATCATCTTCAATTGACTGATGACTACTTTTACATAATAATATCCAAGACATGTGATTACAGAGGTTATGCGCAATGCTGCCAACCGCAAATCACTAAATATCTTCAGTAGAGCGTAATTCGAACGGTTCGGCTATTTTCTGAACAGACTTCGTATCTACATATTAGTAGTTAGAAGGTTACTTAGAAGCAGCATAAAATACTTCAGAGACTTCATTGTCGTAAGGGGATATACCTACAGGGTGTTAGTAAATAAGTGCGACAAATTTCAGGGGGTGATTCTACATAAGAAAATAATGGCAGTTTGCTTATAAACGTATATCCGCAAATGATTCGTTTTCCGAGATACGGGGTGTCAAAGTTTTTCTTAAAAACTGACGATTTAATTTATTGCTCTGAAATGTCGGTCGAGATGTGCAAATGAAATTTGGTGGGTTTTAAGAGGTAGTTATTGCGCATTTTTTGACACGCAATTAAGAATTTTATGTTCATCATTGGCGCGCGTACGGGTAATAATCTCAATTTTTTTAAAGAAAAAAATGGTACGCCACTGAGATATTACAAATTAAAAATCATTTTTGAATTCCTCGTTCAATTTGTGACAAAAAATCTCTCTTGCCTTTTCTTCGTATGGGGCGCCGTTTTGATGCAAAAAAATAAAACATCTTAACGCGTATTTTTTATTTCTTTAATACATTACCTAGTAGGCTACTGTCAACATTTGTCTGTTAAATACGAATATTTTTAAGAAATGTCAAATTAGCGTTTCGTCATTATTAATTTATTAAGCTTTTAGTTTGCTATAACATTAGTGTTAATAAGTAATTAATTTTTCTTTTATCGAAAAGAATGGAAAATTTTACAAATGCGGAATTGTCAGACATGCATTTTGTCTATGGTCGAAGTAATGGAAATGGTCGGCAAGCTCGACGATTGTATGCTGAGTTGTATCCAGGACGTAGGGTACCTCATCACACAATATTTGCTCGTCTTCATCAACGTTTGCGCGAAAATGGTTCATTTAAGAAACAAACGGTTGACTGTGGGCGCCCTCGAGAAGTACGAACTGTGCAACTAGAAGAAGCAGTTCTCGAGTTAATTGCGGAGTCACCTGAAACAAGTACTCGAAAAATTGCCAACATATTGAATGTAAGCAACTTCACTGTATTTAAAATTCTTAAAGAACAGCAATTGTATCCGTTTCATATTGAACGTGTGCAAGCTCTACTACCTAGAGACTTTTTTCCGCGCCTATTTTTTTGCCAATGGATTAATCATCAAATCGCTCAAATTCCTAATTTTTTAAATGCCGTTTTGTTTACTGACGAGGCTACTTTTGGACGACAGTGTATACGAAATTTCCATAACAATCACTTATGGGCTGAGGAAAACCCCCATGGAATCTTTGAAGCTCATTTTCAGCATCAGTTTTCCGTAAATGTATGGCTTGGGGTAATTGATGATCATTTAATCGGTCCATATTTCCTCCCACAACGACTAACAGGCGAATCTTATCTTAATTTCCTACAGGAAGAGTTACCTGTTCTTCTTGAAGAAATTCCTCTACAGCTGAGACAACACCTATGGTACATGCATGATGGTGCACCAGCCCATTTTAGCATTAATGTACGTAATCACTTAGACACAGTATATCCAAATCGTTGGATAGGTAGGGGAGGTACGGAACATTGGCCTGCTCGATCGCCGGATTTAAATCCTCTTGATTTTTGCATTTGGGATTTTCTTAAGTCATTAGTTTATTCCACTGCCGCTGAAGATGTTGATGACCTGAGGAATCGAATTATAGTCGGCTGTGAGACAATAAGAAATATACCAGGAATATTTGCGCGAATACGACAATCAATGAGGCGAAGAGTTGAATCTTGTGTCACGTCTGAGGGAGGTCATTTTGAACATTTGTTGCAGCTTTGCGCCTTCTCAAAATTTTATTAGTGTTATTTTCTGTTATTGTTCTGGTTTAATATTATTGTATTAGATAGTTCTTGATAATGTATTAAAGAAATAAAAAATACGCGTTAAGATGTTTTATTTTTTTGCATCAAAACGGCTCCCCATACGAAGAAAAGGCAAGAGAGATTTTTTGTCACAAATTGATCGAGGAATTCAAAAATGATTTTTAATTTGTAATATCTCAGTGGCGTACCATTTTTTCTTTAAAAAAATTGAGATTATTACCCGTACGCGTACCCGTAATGATGAACATAAAATTATTAATTGCCTGTCAAAAAATGCGCAATTACTACCTCTTAAAACCCACCAAATTTCATTTGCACATCTCGACCGGTTTCAGAGCCATAAATTAAATCGTCAGTTTTTAAGAAAAACTTTTGAGACCCCGTATCTCCGAAAACGAATTATTTGCGGACATACGTTTATAAGCAAACTGCCATTATTTTCTCATGTAGAATCACCCCCTGAAATTTGTCGCACTTATTTACTAACACCCTGTATATTTTAAATTTGTTTTTTTTTCAATGTAGCAATCGTTAAAAATTAGATAATTCGAAATTTTGTAGAATGACAGTAAAAGATTAAATCAAAGAATTATTTTAATTATACATAAAAGTCAAAAATATATATCTGAATTGAAAAAAGGCGT